TAGAGATATCTCAATTTTTAACAAATTAGGCACCTAATCATCTTCTGTGGATTTGCATTTTGTTATGTCTAAATACTCATTAAGAGTGTATGCCTATTTAATGGGACAATCTTTTGGTAATTGCTCAACTTTCATTTTGATATTTTTGTATTATAATCGAATATCATCATACTTTAGGTGTGCATTAGATATATCAAATTTAACGCTAACTAATTGTACTCATAAGACATCAATTCGTGTTGGAGCATTTAAAGTTGGTTTTGAGATGACATTAATTCGTGTTGGAGCATTTAAAGTTGGTTTTGATTAGTACATGCATCTAAAGAAATTATATTTCAAACATCTAGTTCAAATTATCTTTTGTGAGAATAATGACGCATTTATACATTATTTCCAACTTTTAATTTCTTACTCTAATGCTAAAAGAATTCTCCAATCAAATTGACAATCAACAAATTGCGTTATTAAATGAATTACTTTTTATTTTGGTGCAATAGGGTGGATTAATTGCACTACAAAATAATCTAATAATTGAATTAGGCTTTGACCATAAGCTAATTATTACATGGAGGATTATAATATTGGCATGATGTGTAATAGTATCCTCTAAACAAAAATAGAATGAACTTTGTTCTCAATTAATTGGAGACGTTTAACAAATAATAGTGTTAAATCATTTATCAACATCTCAACTAACATTTATTAAAAGGTTGACATTTAGTCTAGCAAGCATTAACAATGCACAATCATAATTATATAATGCAAAAATTATACTCAAAAATTTTAAATTTGAGCAGTAATTTCGAAACTTCATGTTGCAAACATCATGCAATCATCTAGTATATATATCAAATAAATTAGATACAAATAATATTTAAATGATCAACATATACGATAATGGAGCCCTATTTATCATCCTAGTTACTTTTCAGAATTATAGGGAATTCAATCATATTTTAACTAGTGATGTTTAATGAACAGTTTTCGATAAAGAGAACAAATAACATATATGAATTTATTGGATTAAAAATTTCTAGTTTTTTGTTAAATGTTCATTTGAATTTTAAGTTTACATCATTATTGATCCAGTGATGGTCCAACTGATCATGGCAAACAAATTGAACTTCTGATTCAATATAAGATATAAGTCAATTATTTAATTTCGAAAAATATGATTAAACATTATATAATCATATAATGATCAATGGACATGACATAAGTTGCATATTTTCCTTTCGAGATAAACACAAACAATATTTTGAAAATCGACCCGATTATCAATCCGAAAAAGTGAAGGGTCAGGGATCAACATATTGAATCGGGATCAAATCGAATGCAATAAATATTTACAAAATAATAAAATACTATGAAAACAGTAATTTAAAAAAAAATTCATATTAATAATGTGTTAATGAGATTCATTATCCTACAATTAGTCTCAATACTTCAAAACTTATAAATCAATATGTTAAAATAATTTGCTTCGTTAAATTAAAAATAGTTTAAACTTATAGAAAATGATATCTACCATTAATATATTAATAATCAAGTGCAATTTAAGTTAAATTTGATAATTAAATAAATGAAAAGATGAAGGTGGATATTACAATTTAGTTAGTTGGGGTTCAATCAAATTAGTTAATTAGACATTACATTTGAAAAATGATTTTGATGGTCATTTTAACATTTTTTGTGTCACTATCCCACATTGGAAGTTTATGAAACCATCAAAGGAAAATGCATCTATAAAAAGAGCATGTCATCTAATATTTTTCTATGGATTTTTGAATTGTAGTTTATGAGGCCCGTTCATGAAGTTAAAACATTTAAATCTAAAAAAAGAAAAAATAGGGAAAGCCACAAAAAAATCATGATCGATTCATCGATTTACTATTTCACCAACTGGTTTGATGGGTTTAGAACATGATATATTCTTCAAAACATGTGATATTTAGAGCATGTTGTATTTTATTGTCGATTCTTCAAGAGCAATATCAATATTCTTCTAAAATATTGGAATCATAGTGTGTTCTTCATAAGTAATAATATATTATTATTTGAAATAATAAATTGTATAAGAATTTTTTCATAATTTTTAATTATGCTCTTCAAGCAGGTAAAATATATCAATATATAAAATCTATACAAAAGAATGTATAAGTAAAGAAATAGAGTAATTTAATTTGTATTTTTACCTAGAAATCAATCAATATTCTTCTAGAATATGGTTTATACTTGGTAATAACATGCTCTTTGGGAACAAATAATCATTTTTGAAATATTTATATAAGATAGCTTCTGCTTTTTTCATGAACAACATTTTAATATTATTCTAGAATATTAAAAATTATAATTCATGATCTTCGGAAGCAATTATATTCCTTTGGAATATTGATTAAGATTATTTCCTTTCAAGTAATTTATAATTTTTTTTTGGAATATTATTATAGATAATTTGGTCTCATCATTGATTAACCAAATAGTTGCATTGTATAAACAGTATCACAATTGAATTTACATAAAATCCACGCAAACAGGATATACGAATAAGATATGGATACAAATATGGCATACATACAAAATAATCTTACTTGAATAGTACATGCATTAGTAAAACAATAACTATAAACACCATAAAATAAACACTAGAACAACTATGCATTAATCCTCCATTTTTGTGTTTTCTCAATTCCATAAATCAATAAAAAAAAATTCACATGTCATTAAATTAATTTTGGTACGTGCGACATGTGATTATGCTTATAAAAATCATTACCTTTTAACTAGTTCATTTTGAATTTTAGAGACTCAGGAATACAATAGTCATAATGACTAGAACTGGAGGGATATAAAAGTCATTCATAAATATCACTGTATTTATAACAATATATAATTTTTTTTGCGTATAAGTCAATTTGAGTTAAGTAACTTTTGAGTTATAAATAAATGTCATTATTATAAGTAAATTTTGTAATTAAAAATAATTTTTTTAAGCATAAATGAATTTTCTTTATAAATAACTTCTTATATTTTAATATATAATTTTGTATTAAGGACAAGTTTGGCAATAGGGAAAGAGCAAAGAAATTTCTCTAAAATATCTGATAGCAACGAATTCTCTAAACGGTGGTGCTAGTTGTACATAGAGATGTATCTAAGCGTATATACTCCTTTCATATGGGATGTGGGATGCATCCGAATAAAAGATACTTATTTGAATGGACCCCACACTGGAGCTTTAAGTACAACCCCCATTATCTAGCACTAGATTAATTTTTGTGGAAATTATAGATTCTAATAGATTAAAAATCCACATTTCATAAATAAGATACCATGTTTAGTATTTCACAAATCAGAAAATTTTTTAATTAATTAATATAATTAAAAAGTAATTAAATTAATAATATCAAACCTAATTATCGCCTATCTCTCTCTGCCTAATCTCAATTGCCTCTCTCTCTCAATTCCCTCTTTCTCTCATCGGTTGCGCGTTTCCCTTTCTTCTCTCTTCTCTCTTCTCTCACCGTCACTTTCTTCTCTCTTTCATCTCTGCCTGCGGCGCAGCTTGCGCCATTGCCGCGAGATGCGATGTAGATTGTGACGTGCATGGCGTGGTGGATATGGCGACACCCTGTGTAGATCACGGCGATTCCTCTTTTCTCTCCATCTCCGTCGATGGCGCAGCTCACACCACTGTCGCGAGATGTGTGTGTGTGTGTATTCGGCGGAGGTGGTGTGAGGCTGTGGTGGTGTGTGCGCAACGACGATTCCCCTTTCGTTACAGCGTTGTGGATTTTGTATGGTGGTGGTGTGCTGCGATCATTGCAGCATCGTAGATTTTGTGCAGTAGTGGTGCGCTACAAATCCCTTGATCTATGGCGATCGTGGATTTTGTGTGGTGGCGACGACGGTGTTTATGTGGTGGCGGTGTTGCGGTGGGTGGCTGATCTGGCGGTGGGAGTTCACTGACAATATTCAAAGGGTGGCGGTGGTCTATTTGAAGTGTTGCAGTGGGTTGTTTGAGGTGCTGTGGTGGCGGCACTCGATGGACCTGGTGGTTGTGTGGACTGTGACTCCCAATTGTGGTGTTGGTGTGTGGCGGGTGGTGACAATAGTGATGGTGATGGCAATGAGAATTGTGACTGTGACTGATTTTCAATCGTGAATTGAGACTCACAATTGGATACGTAACATGAAAATTGTGACTGTGACTCTCAATTGTGACTCACGATTGATTAAATTGTCGAAAAAATTATCGTAATTAATTAATCCAATAATTTGCAACGAGTAAATGAGTTGTGACTAATAATATTTTTTAGGTCACGCATTATTTTTTTGGTAATGGTCACAAATTATTTGGTTGATTGTGACGATTAAATTGGATTACTATGACCAATAATAAGTGACCAATGAAAAAAAATTGTGGCTTGAAAAATTGTTAATCCGTGACCGATAATTTGATAATTTGTGACTATATAAGAAGTTGTGACTTGTAATATTTGTGATTTGTGATCGATAAATAAATCGTGATTTATAAATTTTTCGATTTGTGACCGATGAACAAACTGTGATCCATAAATTTTTCGAATTTTAACTGTAAAGTAATTTATGACATCAAATTTCTGACTTGTGATCAAAAAATAATAAGTGACGAATTAAATCGTTAATTTATGACCAAATTATATAAATCTGTTACTTAAATATATTTAATTACTAAAATAATTAATTAATTAACTAAATAATAAATAATTTTTAAATTAATCTGATTTTTAAAATTTGAAACTTATTTTCTTATTTTTGAAATGTATCATAATTAGTCTCTCGCTTATCAAATTTTCACTTAATTTTTCTCCGAACTGAGGTCGAATCTTTAATCTGAAAAAATGAGCTTGTCTCTGTTGCAAGGCTACCCCTCGGCTGAAGAAGAAGAAGGACACGGAGAACTAGGAGACCCGAAATGCCAAAACTCCTCAGACGATGAAGAAAACGGCGTCGTTTGAAATAACCCTTCATACAAACCTTTGTTCGATCCAAATCCACCCTCCTCTTCTTCCCTCCCATCTGCTTTTGATGCATTCTCCGAAGTAAATACCAGAATTTATATATTTTTTTTTCTAATTTGATGGGGGAATTGCTTAATTTTATTTATTTTTTTGTGGGAATTTTTTCTGGAGGTTGCAGGGCATCCGAGGTTTCTTAACAACCACGTCCAGGAGGAAGCGGCAAAAGAGGACGATCGGCGGGGTTGGCGACATAGTGGCCGGAGAAACCGTAGAGATAAAAAGGATTTACCTGCCGGTAATTTCCTTTTGGTTTTCAATTTCGTATGCTTGCATAAACCTTAATGTCCATATTTCAATAGAATAATTAAGTATTTCCATTAAACATCAAAATTCCAAGACATTAAACAAACAAAAGACTAGTTAGAGATACAGTACCTTTCTGTCTAGAACTGCTTAGGCAAATGATTTGAATTTTATGGGAATTGAATTTTTGGTGAAAGTTTTGGGGCTAATGATTGGAAGCAAGTGAAAAGTTTGGGCTTCCCTTAACCAAAAACAAAAAAAAAGGGAAAGGAAAAGCTTCTTAGGTGACTTTTGGATGGACGGTGAAGATTGGAGAGAAACTTTAAAACATGGTTATAAATTTATTGACTAGGTTGAATATGGTGAAAGGCAAAGAGAAAGGATTGCGAAGGGTTTAAAACTTAACTTGGAATGAAAACTCGTAAAGCTGGGTTGCCATGTTGATAGTGAAGTATAGTAAGAAGGGAAAGGAAATAAAGTGATGTTATTAAAATTTGGATTTTGTTAGGTTGGATATGGGCCTTTGCCGTTGTATTCAGCTCCTAATGTATTGTCCTCAGACCTCAGATAATACTTCATTATCATGTTTAAGTGATTCTATGACTACATTCAACTTTGAGCGAGCCCCCTTGATGCTTTGTGATATCTCTTTTACTTATTTACAAATATGTTAGGCGCTAAGGTTGGACTTCCAAGTCACATAGCTATATAAGTTCATCGATCACTATATTGGATACATAGTGTCAAATATTATTAAATAAGGCGGCAGATCATAGCTATGTTATAGTATTTATCCCATATATGTCATCTGTTGGAATCTGGTATGAGAACATCATGCATTCTCCAATAGGTGGATGAGATATGGTAGAATGGGGTGTTTTGTGACATGTGGATGCTACAATCGCAAGAGAGCATATTTGGTTTTCATGGACTTCAAGCTAAACCCAACTGTTACCAATATTCATATGTAAAAATCCACAACAGATCTGTCCTTCAAGTCACCGTTGCTTTTTACCACATCGTTGCAAATGAAGTTTTTTATTTTTACTACAGTGTACTGGATACAGAGTGACACAATTTTTCTCAATTTTATAATTCTGAATGTTGCTGTTGGCCGTTATAGGTGCTGTAGTGGAATCTAAAGCTCAGTTAGTTGGAATCCACGAGAGAGTGAGAAGCAATGTTGAAAGCAACATTGCCCATTGTCAAAATAATGGTTCTGTAGGACATTCACATGGTGTAAAGCGCATGGTAACTGCTGGCAACCCAAATATAGAAGATGCAGCAGAGCTACTCAGGTGTGTATATTAACATCCCATATTATAAAGAACACTTACTATGGTTTTCCTCCCAAACCTCATCCCAAAAGGGATGAGGGGGATGTGGGTGAAATGCTGTGTAATGATATATGATTTGCTTGTAGAATGTGTGTCAGGTGTGGAATACCGAAAACATACTCTCATTCAAGGGGAATTGTCTGCCCTGTCTGTGGTGATCTCCCTCCCATGGACACAGACGAGCCTGTCAAGAAGAAAGAATCTACCATTAAGGATAAGGAAAAGAGTAAGAGGATGAAGGGTCAATCCTCACATGCTACTTGGAAAAGTGAGACAGAAATGCAACTCCGACAACAGTTTGATTAGCAGTGGAATTTTCTGTTTAGTCATGAGATCATCAATGCTTGCTAATTTCTTCTTCATTTTTGTTCGACATTATGTATAGCATAGCATAAACAGCAGAGTATTTGTGAGCGTAAGAATTTTAGATCTGTTATTTATGGCTGAATTTGAATTTGGTTGGTCACATTTTACTTCTTGATTATAATCTAAAACCATTTCACTTTTTTCCACTTCTCGAAAATGGCAAGTCTTTGAAAACTTCCTAAACTCGCTACCCTTCTCCGCCAAGAAATGTACGGGCTCAAGAAATTGTTATGGGACAAATTGTATCTTCGCATTTTCCTTAAATGCCGCACTATTTGAATTGCTGCAATAGAAGATCAGTCTTGGCTTAGAAACAAGTTGGTTCAACCCCGAACCATTAAACTCTCTCTGTGTTTCGCATCAAACAGTCATATGTAGAGCATAATTTCATATTTACTCAGTGATATTCGTAAAATGTGAAAAAATAAAATAAAATAAAGAAAAACAATTTCCCCATGAAAAGCCGTACAAGGTTGGTCACCAAACAGTAGGTTAAAAACCAGACTCAAATTTACATGATTTAAATAGCATATAAGCTTGAGTCAACTGGTATGTTTATGTACATGGTATGGGCTTTGCAAAAGCTAGAGACTCGTCGACTCTCAGCAGTCAAGAAACAATTCTCTATGTTTCAGCAGCAGCAGTTTCTTCATTATTGATAGATTTCTCATCCATTGCAGACATGCTGGTGATGGGTCCATGAACCTGTTCATAATAGAATTTTAGCATCTATTTCTTACATTTTACCATCTACTACTTTTCAATCCTCATTACTGAACGCACCATAAGTTGTCATCAAGAAACTGTTGGGACAACATATGCATGTTGTAACTAAACATGAAATGAAAAATTACCATGCTTGGTGACCTGAATGCAAATGAGTCATTGACAGGTATGGAAGCCGAATCTGAAGGCCTGTGAAACAGTAAGTGAGCGATGGAGCGATCTATAGGATTTGTGTCGGTTTCCATATCTATAAATCCAGTGCACCTAATGAAAAATCATGAGAGTATCAGAGGGTGTCATTATTTGCAACTAAAGATGAGACTAACGATACAGAAATCACAGATTTGACTTACTTGTTTGATCCTTCTGCCATGAATGCTCCACTGGCTTCTCTCTCATCTTTGCAGCCACCATTGGGGCTTGCATGGGTATGTCTTTGCTCAGCATTCATAGCCAAACGATATAAACTGTCCCTGATGCATAATTTTGTTTTCATGTCCAACTAAACCAAGAAAACATTAACCATCGTCAGTTTCAAGGCAGAAGAATTCGTAACATAATTTAAACACTGTAAAATTGACATCATGACATGTAAGACATGAACACACTCCATTTTCCTTTAATAACAAAAACGTATCAGATGCAAAACGTACAGACACACACATATCAAGGTGGCAGTCACACGTATATTCAGGGAGTAGCAGAAAGTCCTCCAACCTGTGTCTGGCGGCATGCTCACTAAATTTGCTGAACATATGCTCACAGATACACAGGATTAAAGTTTTAGTACAGGGCATTGTCTACAGGATCTTAGCACTAATCTAGTGTCAAAACAAAATGGATGTAATATAAGACTCTTATCACTCCGCGCATCATCTCCGACTATAGCATTCTAATAATCAAACCTTTATGTCAGAATCTCACTACCAATTATTGTTCCATTTCATTTCTACGTGCTCCACAATTATAAAAATTCTCTCCCACCAATGATAGAACACAATGAAATGCGTAGGTCAAACCTCCTGGGAGCGGGTTACAACATCGAAATTACATTTTAGCGTATTAAATATCAAAGCAAATTATAAATTTTTGGAAGTCCATCATACCTGTTCCATGACAAGCTGAAGCTGTTGTAAACTAGCTGCTTCAATTGAAATATCTTCCAAAGCTGAGTTCATGGATGAGCTCTCTTGTATATTTGATGAGCATAATTCTGCTGGAATCACTATGCCGACTACATCAACATCACTTTGATTTTCAAATTTATCTCCAAAACGGTGAACTTTCTTTTCCAGTGAAATGGGATCAAGTATGGAAGACTGACTACCTTTATGATTGACTAGCTTCTCTCTTTTTTCACTGCCCGCTATAGTAGCCACCTGAAATGGAGGATCACCAGAATTTTCCAAGAAATGCACTTGACTGGAGGCATACAATGGCTCCCTCGGTGAAAGGAATGCCAAGTCATCATTCTCAGATCTGACAGCAGATTGAGTTGTATGTACCGAAGTTTTATCTGGTAAATGTCTGCTATCTAAATGCACGTAAGGAAAAGCATTCTGTAGGTAATCACAAGAATCTGGAACCGGAGACTTCGGTTGACATTGAATAGCCTTATATTGGAAAGTTTCATGAGATATGTCCCCAGAAGGAAGATGCCTAACTTCATTCGGCAGGTTGCCAGCATAATTAAAACAACCATTTCCAGTGCATTGTTCTTTTCTTTTCCTCTGAGAATGGTTCTGTTGCTTTGACTGCTTTTTATGCTCATTAACCTGCAACGTTTATTAAACTTGAATTATTGTATTGTCAAACTGGTTCAGTAGACCGTCTTTCAAATTTCAATAGTGTCACATAAAGAAATTTTACAGACCAAATAAAGATTCAGTATACCCAGCCACTAATATTATCTGAATTCTACTCGGTTAAAAAAATCCTTCTATTAAAAAATGATGTATTTCTCTCTCTACATATACTCTAGCAAATATTGAAAATAAGAACATTCAAGGAAAATAATTTGCCCTAAAAACACTAATTTATTGAATTTGTGCATTACCATTTCTTTGTTTCCAGTTTTGTAACTGTTAGTTGAAATCTTGGGTTGCATTTTACCATTCTGTCCCATTCCCTGCAAAAAAATTGCCTCGTATTGGTCAATCATGGTTTCAAACAGATATATCTGGAAAGGAAAAAAGAATAGAACCAAATTCTAGTAGCAGTCACAGACCTACCTTTTCTATGGGCATGACATCTTCTTTTCTGTCAGATCCAGTGGATCCATTCGCAATGGACACATGAGAAGCAGATTCATCTCTCTCTGAGTACCAAATGGATGCAGTTGTCCTGGTAATATCATTAGTAGAATAGCTTCCATTTACCATCGAGGTGTCATGGTTTTCTGAAATATTTTCCATTGCCTTGGACTCGGGACAGAAAAACTTAAAATCTGACTTCAGAATATCACCGGATCCTCCTATAGCATCCTCTGATGAAAACCAACCCAATTCATCTTCTTTATCCTCCCCAAGTCCAAATGTTGAATCGCAACTTCTGGAGAATGCAATGTAATAATGAGAAACATGCAATAAGAATGAAAACGTATTTAATCTGAACTCGAGGTAAGAAATTACCTAAACATCCTGTCGACATCCTCAAAATTTCCTATTTCAGGCCAATCATAATGTAAGATATCGCTAGAATCCTCGTCTTCAGGATTTTTGTCAAAGAAATTCAGATCATCGACTGTTTGAGAAATGTCACCGAGTGGATAACTAAAAGAGTTGCTCTCAACAGCAGTGCACTTGTCATTGAGTGTGGTATCATTTGCACAAACTTCACTACCATTGGAATCTAAATTATTGTTGTTGAAGCCATGACTTGATATTCTGGTATTGTCAGATGCTGAACTCGAATCTTCTTTGATTGAATCACGAACAATTGGAGAGAGGGATGCATCGTGGGGTGGGCGAGACGATGAATCCTTCTCAAACATGGGGTTCTTTCTATTAATAGAAGTTGAAAGATCTCTTTGTTCTTTCTCCTGACCTACACGTTTAGCAGCAGATTTATCTGCATAACTTCTTGAAATACCAGTTACTTCACAGCGAGGTTTCTTGCAACTATCACCCTGAAAGGAAATTTCTTTGGCCCGTTTGTCACCAGGATGAGGCACTATATGATCATCACTCTGGTAATATTCATCCCAAATTATATCTTCGAACTGTTACAGCAGTTAAAGAATTTTAGCTGCTAACTGCAGAGAATACTACAATAAAATAAGCAAATAATATTTGATTATAACATCATGAACTACGGAAAATAGTAAATGAAGATATCAAAAGTGCATTGGAAGCTAAACATCAACCATGAATACAGGTCCAGGAGAACATTTCTGTACCAAGTAAAGATGGGAAACTTAAACCTCAAACAGAAGAATAGAAACCAAACATGTCAGCGTAATCTGAATGATCATTTCATTACTATGAAATGCAAAACGTAATCCATCCAGCACGATATAAATGAAACTTAGAGCATCTCATGCACTCTATTTATATTGCATTTCATATTACAGGATATTTATGGTTTGCCTTTTCCTCTGTAGCATAAATGAGTAGCTCAATTTTAATAATCAAATTTTTACTGAAACAGTGATGAACTTACTAGGGAAAGGTGGATTGACTGACAGCTTTACCAAAAAAAGGAAAGAAAGCAGGAGGAAAGGAGGAGACAGGTAACAGGTGTATGGAATATTTCCAGTAAAGACAAATAATCTTCTTGCTTCAGCACATTTTCTCAGGCATCCTTTCTGTTATGAACAGCAAATTTTAATGGTAAGATAATTCAACTATTTTGAGCTGACTATTATTTATTTATTTTATTTCAATTACATTACAAAAGATGAACTTCTGCATTGACTGCGTAGTTGATGATTTATGTTCACAAGAATAAACATTAAAGCTTTGGAGGTCAGTCTAAAGTAGGGTGCATAAAGAATGTGTAGAAGAATTCACAGGTCTACTAATAAAAATGGCCTTTTAAGTTTCAAGAAAATGCAGGAATGCTTGCTCAGGCCTGATCATAACCTGAGTTTTTGTAATCAGTTTTCTAGAAGTAATGGATATCCATGGTTTATAGTCTAGGCAAATGAAATGTTCATCATTACACCTCGTTGAAATGGGTATCAATAATTTGCAATTTCCTATACAATTTTTATGAGTAGAGTTTTAAATGTAAAAAATTAGCATAGGTCGCGTGCAAAATATATAACTGAACTGCCAACCATAATTGTTTCTTTTCTTGATAAAAAGACAAATAACTAATTAAATTGAAAAACTTCAAGAACAAGACAAACCTGATTAAAATGATAGTTATTAAAAAACCTGAAGCATAGGTTCATTATTTATATTTGTTTGCTACATTAGAGGAAACAGCAGTAGTACATGGAATTCATTAAACATGTTAAGGATCATCAACAATGATATAGGTTATTGGAGTAAGAGATGATCAGTCTCTTAACTTTCCTTTTCCTCTTATCTTTTTCCCAATAACAGTTTGATTAGCAGTGGAATTTTCTGTTTAGTCATGAGATCATCAATGCTTGCTATTTTCTTCTTCATTTTTGTTCGACATTATGTATAGCATAGCATAAACAGCAGAGTATTTGTGAGCGTAAGAATTTTAGATCTGTTATTTATGGCTGAATTTGAATTTGGTTGGTCACATTTTACTTCTTGATTATAATCTAAAACCATTTCACTTTTTTCCACTTCTCGAAAATGGCAAGTCTTTGAAAACTTCCTAAACTCGCTACCCTTCTCCGCCAAGAAATGTACGGGCTCAAGAAATTGTTATGGGACAAATTGTATCTTCGCATTTTCCTTAAATGCCGCACTATTTGAATTGCTGCAATAGAAGATCAGTCTTGGCTTAGAAACAAGTTGGTTCAACCCCGAACCATTAAACTCTCTCTGTGTCTCGCATCAAACAGTCATATGTAGAGCATAATTTCATATTTACTCAGTGATATTCGTAAAATGTGAAAAAAAAAAATAATAAAGAAAAACAATTTCCCCATGAAAAGCCGTACAAGGTTGGTCACCAAACGGTAGGTTAAAAACCAGACTCAAATTTACATGATTTAAATAGCATATAAGCTTGAGTCAACTGGTATGTTTATGTACATGGTATGGGCTTTGCAAAAGCTAGAGACTCGTCGACTCTCAGCAGTCAAGAAACAATTCTCTATGTTTCAGCAGCAGCAGTTTCTTCATTATTGATAGATTTCTCATCCATTGCAGACATGCTGGTGATGGGTCCATGAACCTGTTCATAATAGAATTTTAGCATCTATTTCTTACATTTTACCATCTACTACTTTTCAATCCTCATTACTGAACGCACCATAAGTTGTCATCAAGAAACTGTTGGGACAACATATGCATGTTGTAACTAAACATGAAATGAAAAATTACCATGCTTGGTGACCTGAATGCAAATGAGTCATTGACAGGTATGGAAGCCGAATCTGAAGGCCTGTGAAACAGTAAGTGAGCGATGGAGCGATCTATAGGATTTGTGTCGGTTTCCATATCTATAAATCCAGTGCACCTAATGAAAAATCATGAGAGTATCAGAGGGTGTCATTATTTGCAACTAAAGATGAGACTAACGATACAGAAATCAAAGATTTGACTTACTTGTTTGATCCTTCTGCCATGAATGCTCCACTGGCTTCTCTCTCATCTTTGCAGCCACCATTGGGGCTTGCATGGGTATGTCTTTGCTCAGCATTCATAGCCAAACGATATAAACTGTCCCTGATGCATAATTTTGTTTTCATGTCCAACTAAACCAAGAAAACATTAACCATCGTCAGTTTCAAGGCAGAAGAATTCGTAACATAATTTAAACACTGTAAAATTGACATCATGACATGTAAGACATGAACACACTCCATTTTCCTTTAATAACAAAAACGTATCAGATGCAAAACGTACAGACACACACATATCAAGGTGGCAGTCACACGTATATTCAGGGAGTAGCAGAAAGTCCTCCAACCTGTGTCTGGCGGCATGCTCACTAAATTTGCTGAACATATGCTCACAGATACACAGGATTAAAGTTTTAGTACAGGGCATTGTCTACAGGATCTTAGCACTAATCTAGTGTCAAAACAAAATGGATGTAATATAAGACTCTTATCACTCCGCGCATCATCTCCGACTATAGCATTCTAATAATCAAACCTTTATGTCAGAATCTCACTACCAATTATTGTTCCATTTCATTTCTACGTGCTCCACAATTATAAAAATTCTCTCCCACCAATGATAGAACACAATGAAATGCGTAGGTCAAACCTCCTGGGAGCGGGTTACAACATCGAAATTACATTTTAGCGTATTAAATATCAAAGCAAATTATAAATTTTTGGAAGTCCATCATACCTGTTCCATGACAAGCTGAAGCTGTTGTAAACTAGCTGCTTCAATTGAAATATCTTCCAAAGCTGAGTTCATGGATGAGCTCTCTTGTATATTTGATGAGCATAATTCTGCTGGAATCACTATGCCGACTACATCAACATCACTTTGATTTTCAAATTTATCTCCAAAACGGTGAACTTTCTTTTCCAGTGAAATGGGATCAAGTATGGAAGACTGACTACCTTTATGATTGACTAGCTTCTCTCTTTTTTCACTGCCCGCTATAGTAGCCACCTGAAATGGAGGATCACCAGAATTTTCCAAGAAATGCACTTGACTGGAGGCATACAATGGCTCCCTCGGTGAAAGGAATGCCAAGTCATCATTCTCAGATCTGACAGCAGATTGAGTTGTATGTACCGAAGTTTTATCTGGTAAATGTCTGCTATCTAAATGCACGTAAGGAAAAGCATTCTGTAGGTAATCACAAGAATCTGGAACCGGAGACTTCGGTTGACATTGAATAGCCTTATATTGGAAAGTTTCATGAGATATGTCCCCAGAAGGAAGATGCCTAACTTCATTCGGCAGGTTGCCAGCATAATTAAAACAACCATTTCCAGTGCATTGTTCTTTTCTTTTCCTCTGAGAATGGTTCTGTTGCTTTGACTGCTTTTTATGCTCATTAACCTGCAACGTTTATTAAACTTGAATTATTGTATTGTCAAACTGGTTCAGTAGACCGTCTTTCAAATTTCAATAGTGTCACATAAAGAAATTTTACAGACCAAATAAAGATTCAGTATACCCAGCCACTAATATTATCTGAATTCTACTCGGTTAAAAAAATCCTTCTATTAAAAAATGATGTATTTCTCTCTCTACATATACTCTAGCAAATATTGAAAATAAGAACATTCAAGGAAAATAATTTGCCCTAAAAACACTAATTTATTGAATTTGTGCATTACCATTTCTTTGTTTCCAGTTTTGTAACTGTTAGTTGAAATCTTGGGTTGCATTTTACCATTCTGTCCTATTCCCTGCAAAAAAATTGCCTCGTATTGGTCAATCATGGTTTCAAACAGATATATCTGGAAAGGAAAAAAGAATAGAACCAAATTCTAGTAGCAGTCACAGACCTACCTTTTCTATGGGCATGACATCTTCTTTTCTGTCAGATCCCGTGGATCCATTCGCAATGGACACATGAGAAGCAGATTCATCTCTCTCTGAGTACCAAATGGATGCAGTTGTCCTGGTAATATCATTAGTAGAATAGCTTCCATTTACCATCGAGGTGTCATGGTTTTCTGAAATATTTTCCATTGCCTTGGACTCGGGACAGAAAAACTTAAAATCTGACTTCAGAATATCACCGGATCCTCCTATAGCATCCTCTGATGAAAACCAACCCAATTCATCTTCTTTATCCTCCCCAAGTCCAAATGTTGAATCGCAACTTCTGGAGAATGCAATGTAATAATGAGAAACATGCAATAAGAATGAAAACGTATTTAATCTGAACTCGAGGTAAGAAATTACCTAAACATCCTGTCGACATCCTCAAAATTTCCTATTTCAGGCCAATCATAATGTATGATATCGCTAGAATCCTCGTCTTCAGGATTTTTGTCAAAGAAATTCAGATCATCGACTGTTTGAGAAATGTCACCGAGTGGATAACTAAAAGAGTTGCTCTCAACAGCAGTGCACTTGTCATTGAGTGTGGTATCATTTGCACAAACTTCACTACCATTGGAATCTAAATTATTATTGTTGAAGCCATGACTTGATATTCTGGTATTGTCAGATGCTGAACTCGAAGCTTCTTTGATTGCATCACGAACAATTGGAGAGAGGGATGCATCGTGGGGTGGGCGAGACGATGAATCCTTCTCAAACATGGGGTTCTTTCTATTAATAGAAGTTGAAAGATCTCTTTGTTCTTTCTCCTGACCTACACGTTTAGCAGCAGATTTATCTGCATAACTTCTTGAAATACCAGTTACTTCACAGCGAGGTTTCTTGCAACTATCACCCTGAAAGGAAATTTCTTTGGCCCGTTTGTCACCAGGATGAGGCACTATATGATCATCACTCTGGTAATATTCATCCCAAATTATATCTTCGAACTGTTACAGCAGTTAAAGAATTTTAGCTGCTAACTGCAGAGAATACTACAATAAAATAAGCAAATAATATTTGATTATAACATCATGAACTACGGAAAATAGTAAATGAAGATATCAAAAGTGCATTGGAAGCTAAACATCAACCATGAATACAGGTCCAGGAGAACATTTCTGTACCAAGTAAAGATGGGAAACTTAAACCTCAAACAGAAGAATAGAAACCAAACATGTCAGCGTAATCTGAATGATCATTTCATTACTATGAAATGCAAAACGTAATCCATCCAGCACGATATAAATGAAACTTAGAGCATCTCATGCACTCTATTTATATTGCATTTCATATTACAGGATATTTATGGTTTGCCTTTTCCTCTGTAGCATAAATGAGTAGCTCAATTTTAATAATCAAATTTTTACTGAAACAGTGATGAACTTACTAGGGAAAGGTGGATTGACTGACAGCTTTACCAAAAAAAGGAAAGAAAGCAGGAGGAAAGGAGGAGACAGGTAACAGGTGTATGGAATATTTCCAGTAAAGACAAATAATCTTCTTGCTTCAGCACATTTTCTCAGGCATCCTTTCTGTTATGAACAGCAAATTTTAATGGTAAGATAATTCAACTATTTTGAGCTGACTATTATTTATTTATTTTATTTCAATTACATTACAAAAGATGAACTTCTGCATTGACTGCGTAGTTGATGATTTATGTTCACAAGAATAAACATTAAAGCTTTGGAGGTCAGTCTAAAGTAGGGTGCATAAAGAATGTGTAGAAGAATTCACAGGTCTACTAATAAAAATGGCCTTTTAAGTTTCAAGAAAATGCAGGAATGCTTGCTCAGGCCTGATCATAACCTGAGTTTTTGTAATCAGTTTTCTAGAAGTAACGGATATCCATGGTTTATAGTCTAGGCAAATGAAATGTTCATCATTACACCTCGTTGAAATGGGTATCAATAATTTGCAATTTCCTATACAATTTTTATGAGTAGAGTTTTAAATGTAAAAAATTAGCATAGGTCGCGCGCAAAATATATAACTGAACTGCCAACCATAATTGTTTCTTTTCTTGATAAAAAGACAAATAACTAATTAAATTGAAAAACTTCAAGAACAAGACAAACCTGATTAAAATGATAGTTATTAAAAAACCTGAAGCATAGGTTCATTATTTATATTTGTTTGCTACATTAGAGGAAACAGCAGTAGTACATGGAATTCATTAAACATGTTAAGGATCATCAACAATGATATAGGTTATTGGAGTAAGAGATGATCAGTCTCTTAACTTTCCTTTTCCTCTTATCTTTTTCCCAATTTTCTCCCTGTGACCCAAAATTTTCATTATATAATATATCAAGTTCTTATTTTTTATAATTAGGTATCGACTCCAAAATGTCCTTAAGCATGTCTGCAGAATGTTCGTGATGTATCCTCAGCAAGTCCTAGCTTGTCAATGTATCCTCAAAACATCTCGAATGTCCAAAATCACACCCTCCAACAGAAAAATATGATTTTCGTAGGAGGGTCCAACATGTAACCCGGTAACCGTCCTGGAAGGAACTTATTGAACACAAATGCACTGGCTTGAAGAACTTTTTTGCCCTTGCGAATGATTTCAAAGCCTCCCTCAGAAAATAAATAAATAAATAAAATTTGATGATACAGATAATAGTGTTATTCACTTAAAATTAACCGAATGTAGTCATTTCTATATACCAAAAGTTAAAAAGTAAAGAAACATTATTTAAGTGAAGAAATGAACTAAAAAGCATATGACTTGTACAACAATCAATATGTTNCCAAAAGTTAAAAAGTAAAGAAACATTATTTAAGTGAAGAAATGAACTAAAAAGCATATGACTTGTACAACAATCAATATGTTCCTCACCAAACACGGGAACAGTTAAAGTAAAAATTACTACTACATATCGAGTTTTATTCAGAGTTATGAAGAGATTTCAGACATTAAAGTGATAAAAATTTCATGTTCTTTAGCTATCCACCAATAATCAACAATAACATAAGGAATCGACGGCTATGTGTGATTTTTATGTCTTAAGACTTTTATTTCGTATTCTTACAACAATCAATCTACATTCAATAGCCCTCCTATCCTCCCTTATGCAACCTTGGTTCTTGTAGACTGAGTTTGGTGCATTAAATCTTGAAAGTACAATGTATATAATAAATGGGCATAATCACTGCTCAATATTTAATCACAAGACCAATATGAAATTCCTGACATAGTAAAATTTCTTAACTATGTCTACCCTACACACTGCGAACCCAATTAATAGAGCAATAGAGACTCTTTTTGATGTTAACCAATCAGAAGCACAGTAGAGGTTAAGGCAATATGTCTAATTAGTTTTATGCATCCACCATCCTTGTTCACCTCAGTTCTCATCTAATGGTCAAGCATGTGGCACGTTTGTTCCTAGAATAAGATTCTGCAACCAATGTGAATCATATGGGCCATAAATTCTTCCAATATACATTTTACATTCACTTACAAACTCCTTTTTCCCATTTACAACTAAAATAATAGATCAAGGGTATATTTTATGGCCATCTGCTTATCTATCCTTACTAGAAAATCAAATTGGTAAGTTTTCTCAAACTAAGCAATAGATAGAGCCACACATTTTATTAGTTATATGACTATACTTTCTTATATGCTTAAGGCGTCTATTTTTTCATCTGAATTTGTTATTATACATAAAAATGCACCAAAACGATTTCAAGTTTTTTCTTGTGGTGGTGAGGGACTTCTTTCAACAGCAGCAATATCAAGATGAGAGAAGAAGAAAGTAATGCCTGGGCAGAGAATCCAAAAAGAAACCTTACCTGGTACATGCACAAGTCAGACATTCCTTCAAGTCTTTAGCCTGCAATCAAACTGCATGCAATGCCCTTCATTTTTAGAATCCAAATCTTTCGAATGAGAATGAACGCCAAGTCAACAAAAACAACAATTACACCAAATGTAAGAACAAAGGATATCTAAGAAAACACACACACACACAAAATAATAATAAAAAAAAAATATTATAAAGGAAACCTCAACTAAAACTAAAAACTAAATCAAGCTCAGGTTCTATATTTTTATCCTCTGGTTTCGGCAAAAGCAAATGAAAAGGGGTGTTTACGACCTAAAAATTTGACGAAATCTACCAAAAATTCAAAATCTTTTCCACAAGAAAGTTAATAATATTAGAAAAGGTTCCACTCAATTGACCTAAACTATAAAATTTTATTAACATAGCAAAAAATTTAAATTTCAAGTATCTACGATTAATAAAAATAATCTCCAAGATTTAATCTTTTCATTTACTTCAGTTTCTCAGGAATCAAACA